TACCTAAGGAATGTTGGGAAGGATTCTGGGAATTGAAGTGCACACAGCGTCCCGTTTCTGAGGTCGACAAACACTATTGTACGCAAAAGAAAACCGAGCCGTTCTTGTTCAAACACGCCTTCGTATCGCATGGGTAGTCCTTGACGTACGACCAACCACCGTTCAAAATTACCACAAACCTCACCACGGTTATCGAAGACCCAGTTCTGACGTTTCAAAGGCCGGTTCCCCAACGTGGTCACGTGACCGCATTTTAGGCGCTTCTCCGTTGGCTCGCGTTTACGGCCACTTGTTGCCGTCTCTCGGCAACACGACCGGGGTTACAACATTTCTACCGAAACCCAAAAATCTACTTCTCGTTTTTGACCAAACCAGCCCTTAACGAACAATTGTTCCGCTAAATGACTACTCAAAAAAAAAGTTGCCAAAGTAGGACGATCACGTGGGGTGATTTCCCCCCTTTTCCCACCGTAATGGTAGGTCGTAAGCCAAGGACTACCTTATTGTGAATCTCCTGGCAGCAGCGTCACGCTGAATGGGGGTCCCCTGTGTCCTGCCCCGAATAAGGGACAGATCAAAGTCCTCCTGGCTTTCCCGCTGACCTCAAACGTAGGTCGGCGACGTGTTCAGGTTATTTACCGCCAGGTGATGGCTGCTGCCGCCGCAGGTGCTCCCTTTGGGGTACTTGGGAAAATCCTCGTCCTTACACAGGACGTAGCGCATCAGGATCTTCCGGAAAGTGTACCGGAAGTCCCGGATGCGGTAGGCGTAAATCATGGGGTTGACCACCGAGTTGGTGTGGGAGAGGATGATGGTTAAATACATGCTCCAGCCGGGCTTGCTCTCCTTGAACGTCGGGTAGAAGAGAGTCAGGCAGTTGAGGATGTGCAGCGGCAGCCAGCAGAGGGCAAACAGGCCCACGATGATGGCCAGCGACTTGGCGGCGTTGACCTCCTTCTGCAACGTCATCCGGCAGTTGCCCACCAGCTCGATCTGCCGCAGCTGTTTGCAGGCGACGACGAAGATCTTGATGTAGATGCAGAGCATGATGAAGAGCGGCAGGAGGACGCAGCCAAAGAAGTTGAAGTAGACCATGTAGGTCATGGGCACCACGTTCTCGAAGAGGCAGGTCACCAGGCAGGGGGTCTGTGTCTCGTTGCAGTTCTGACCCATATTGTTCCAACCAATCAGCGGCGTCAGGCCGATGATGAACGAAAGGAACCAGAGGACGCCGATGAGAACGCGGGCTCTCTTTCCGGTCACCAGGCTCTTGTATCTGCAAAAAAAAAAGGGGGGGGCAAAAGCACTTAGACGTAGCACTTAAGACTTCTATTCCGCTTCACGGGGCTTTCCCGCCCTCTCTAAGCGGTTTACAGAGTCAGCCTCTTGCCCCCAACAATCTGGGTCC